TTTACTTTCAGATTGCAGCATTATGAGACAAAGAGTTTTGGCAACAACTTAAACCACCTCCTTCTTTGCATGAGATAGAGTTAGATATTGAGTTGCCAGTTAACTGCAGGATATCCAAGTAAATTTGAATTATGAGTAAAAAAAACAATTCATTTTCAGTATATCAAACCAAAAAACCAAACCCACTGCCATCAAATCAATTGTGACTCATAGACACCCTCACTGGGTTTCCAAGGCTGTAAATCTTTACTGAAGGAGATTGCCTCATCTTCCTTCCACAGAGCAGATAGTGGGTTTGAACTGCCAACCTTCTGATTAGTAGCCAAATGCCTTACTCACTATGCCACTGGAGCTTCTTATTTTTAGTAGAAGTATGTTCCGAATTAGGAGTCATGGTGGCGCAGTGGTTAAGAGCTCAGCTGCTAACCAAATATCAATGATTTTAACTCAAGGGAGAAAGATGTGGCAATCTGCTTCCATAAATATTTACAGCCTTGGAAATTTTATGTGGCAATTCTACTCTGTCCTATTAGGGTCTCCATAAGTAAGAATTTACTTGTCATCAATAGGTTTGGTTTCGTTTCATTTTGGGGTTTGCTATATCCCAAATAGTACAGGGGACATACTTATACTAAAAAATATTTTATATTTTACCTAAAATTAAAACATAACTAGATGTCTTATATTTTTCTTTACTAAATATGGCCCTTGGATCCCTCTGCACTTTAAAAAAAAATTGTACATAATGGGAGTGGAGAAGTATAAAACATTCATACAAAGTACCATGGTTCACTTTTTAACAAATACATATTTCAAATAATGAGCATAAGCAGTGGAGAAAAAATGTGTTCAGTAAATATTTGTTACTCATTAAATTAAATTTTAAAACATCTATCATAATTTCTTAAAATATTAATTTCTGTTAAGTTTTGTTCTTTTTTTCTATTAAAGCTGGTGAAAGCATAAAGAGAACAAAACCTATTGCTGTCGAATTGATTCTGGCTCATAGAGACCCTATAAGGCAGAGAACAATTGTCTCGTAGGCTTTCCAAGGATGTAATCTTTATAGAAGCAGACTGCCACATCTTTCTTCCATGCAATGACTGGTGGGTCCAAAATGCCAACTTTTCATTTAGCAGTCCAGCACTTAACCACTGCACCACCACAGCTCCTACAGAGCACGGATGTTACATCTTTAAATTCAGAAAAAAATAAAGATTGATTTGCATTGAATGGAAGGATCCTGGGTGGTGAAGAATTTGCACTCAATTACTAACTGAAAGGTTGGCAGTTCAATCTTACCTGTGGTACAGTGGAAGAAAGTCCTGGTGATCTGCTTCTGTTAAGATTACAGCCAAAGAAACCCACAAAGCAGTTTTGCTCTGACAAATGTGGGGTGGCCATTAGTAGAAATGGACTCCATGGCAACGCGTTTGGTATTGGACTTGTGCAGATGAAGTTCACTGCTGTTGAGTTGCATGACTAGATGCAGGGGATATTAAAGTAGCCAGTTTTCCCCAGATGTAGCTCTTGGTTCAGTTTTAAAGAGAATTGGCAACATGTTGATTTAACAACTTACTCCAAGGCCCTTTAGGAAAAAGCAATTCTTGAAAGATGGTAGTTATTCTTCATGAAGCAGACTGTGCATAGACTGGAAATTCTCTAGGTGTTCATGGCCTATAGGCATTGGAGGGTTAATTGAAATATTGTTTTCTGAAAATTGGGTTGTCATGTAGTAACTAGAAAGCACAATTCAAATTTATGATCTGTTTTAGGGGCTTTTATTTTGTTTTGCTTTGCTTTTGTTTCTGTTTTCCAAGAAAATGGCATTCCATTGCTTCTCAATATACTGTTGCAATATCTTGTCAATGTTAACTGGTCGTAATGTTTAAGTATGTGCTGTGGCCTTTAAGAAATATGTACTAAACACAGTGAAACCTGTGAAAGCCGAAACTTGTTGGTTTCAGTTTCAAAACTTGCCTTTCCAGGTCTTGCAAGTTTTCTGCCTTTGATAGGGTGCAGTCTTAGTACTTTTTTATTGCTCTCTATTAGTGGAAAATATTTGAGTATTCCTTCTCTGACAGGTTTCTGTCTTGCACAGTTTCCAGCTTTCACAGGTTTAGTTTCTGTATAATCCTGGGAATACACTAGATCTTCCCATTGCCATTGATTGATTCCAATTCATAGTGATCCTATAGGACAACTGCTCTGTAGGGTTTCCAAGGCTGTAATCTGTACAGAAACTGTGGAGTGGGATGGTAGGTAGAATAGCTGACCTTTTGGTTAGCACCCAAGCATTTAACCACTACACCACCAGGGATCCTTATACAATTGATAAAGAAAAGCAATTTTATAGAAATTTAAAAAAATGTATTATTCTGTTTTTTTTTTTTTAAGGAAACTGGAAATATTACTAATATATAGTAATTGGTGAAGAATTTTATTCAGATATTCTTAGATATTAATGATGGAAATAAGGAAAGATAAGAAAAAACAAACTATTTCACTCTACTGAAAGACATTTATAAGGAATATGAAAGAAGGCATCATAAGAAATCAGTGCTGAACAGTCTCTTCTAGGTTGTCTAGTCCAGCTCCTTTATGTCACAGGTAAGGATCTGAAAGCATGGAGATGAAGTGATTTGTCCAAGGCCGGACCGCTACTGGTGGCAGATCAAGGACCACAGCCCTGACTGGCTGATGCTTATATCTACATTCTCCCCACTAACATCATAAGGCCACAGGAGTGGTTCAAGCTACTGCATATCTCTGGGATGAAATCACAGACCTTGAGGATTCAGTCAACATCTGGTCAAGTGTAGTTCTCTAGTGTGGCCCAAACTTCAGGGATAAGGAGATACATTAGTGAGATAGGGAGTCCCCAGGTAGGCTCATGTCTACCCAGAAAGGTGTCTCAGAACAAAGGTTTTACAATCCAATTCTTAAAAAAAAATCAGCCATTGAAAACCCCATGGAGCACAGTTCTACTGTGACATACATAGGGTCGTCATGAGTCAGAATCAACTCGACAGCA